GGGGCCTGCGATCTATCGAAAACTACGAGCCTGCTGAGGTCAACCCCGTTCCTACTGTCGAAGATCATCATCCGAAGCAAGATACTCCGCCTACGGACCGGTCTGCTACCCCGCCTGCCACTACCTTCACGATCGATGAAGACGAGGATATCATCACTCTCACGCAGAACTACAAAAAGGAGGACGCACCTCAGACTCTGACGGAGTACCTTGCCCGGGGTCTGCGATCTATTGAGAATTACGAGCCTACTGAGGTCAAACACGCTCCCACCGTCGACCATCATCCGAAGCAAGATGCAACCCAGAGCTCGATAGAACAACTTGCGGAGGATTTGGCTTCGATCAAAATCACACAGCCTGCTCAAAATGACGAGCAAGATGCTTCAGACACACAGACAGAGCCAACCGGAAACTCTGCCAAGCCCGCCTGCAAAGGCTTCCGCGCTGGCGCTGGCGGCTCCCTTCGCTTGGCGAAGACTCGGAGCAAAAACGTCAAGAGCTTGAGCTTTGTTGGCCAGATGGAAGCCGCCCATGGCACGAACCAGCCTCTTGACCCGGCGCCCCTGACTGACGCAAGCTGTAGCACCGCCAATGATGGCGACTCAAGCAACGGGTCTCAAGGCAATGTCTTGACACCTGCGACGCCTCTTTCCGCAAGGGAGACCAAGCTCAAAGAAAGGAATCCCATGGGGACATCGCTCAAGGAGACCCTATCCAAGGAGACCTCTCCCAAGGGGACTTCGCCCAAGGAGACTTCGCCCAACGAGACTTCGGCTTAGGAAGCCGCGTCCAAGGAGCGCACACCCAAGGAACATGGAGCACGCGTCGATTCTACCCCGAAATCTGGTCTCAATCCTCGTGCCAACGAGTTCTTGTCTCCTCGTGGCCCTGCGGTGCGCAGTCCGTCAGCAGCCCCGCTGAAGAAAGCACCGATCCCTCTGGTCCCTCCTTTCAAGGTGTCTGGTCGGCATAAGCGCAGCCCGAATCCCTCGTCAGGTGCCACATCACGCACGGTTACACCTGGTGGCACACCCACAAAGGCCTCAAACGACGCCGCCGAGGCTCCCAAGAACGTTCCCAGCCATGTTGGGGATGTTGCTAAGAGCAGCGCGGACGAGCAGAAGAATAACGTCGCCCCCGTCACCAACAGTTCGACTGCTAATAAGAACAGCGAAGACCATGGCGGTGAGCAGAAGAAGCGGACATTCGGTAATAAGGTTACCCGGGCTAAGAGCCATCCGCAGCAGACTGACAACAAGCCAGGGCCCAGCAAGAACTTCTCCTCGTCTAAAAAGCCAAAGGTTCAAGGCGAGAACTCTTCTCAGGCCCCATCTAGATCTACCTCGGCGCTGCCCCCCACCGCGACCTGGGCCAGTAAGCGTCCGTCGGGAATCTCGGGCTCTAAGGAGGATGGCGAACAGAAGTGAAGGAACAGAATGTTTTGGAGGAAAAGATTGCAACGTTGTCGCCTTCATTTGCCGAAAAGATTCGGTTTATGTCTAGAGTAGCAAGAAGTAGCAGGGTAGATTTGCTGTCATTTGGACGGGCAATCAAGATTGATGTCATGAAATGCAGTGGTAGTGCGATGTCAGTGCTATGTCTGTTTCTGTGACTTGTCTCCCAAGTAATGAGCCCAGTGTGCGCCGAGAGGAATGAACAATACCAGATCTCTCTTCTGCGACCTAGAAGATTGCAGAGGAAAGTACTTGCCCTGTGGCCAAAGCCTCCGTCAATCACCTTGACTAGCCAAGGAAACATCGGTCTCAGAATTGCCAAAAGGTGAGGAGTTTCGGCGGAGTTGTGAATGGGTTCGGAGCGCTGAGGTAGCCTAGCTGCATGAAGGGACGGTCTTGTACCAGAGCCCGCGGAGCACACCGCCGCGTTCTCCAACAACCCTCTGCAAGGTACTCACAACGACGGCGAAGTGTTCCCGGATTGTCCGCCGCGGGGAGGACATGCGACGAAGAACATTGCGACCTCGCGAGTCTGAGAAACACCCGCCAACTAATCCGCCGAAATTGCCGGCACATTCAAAGTGCAGTCTGAATCTGGGCAGCACACCAATCGCATCGCAAAAGGTCCCTTTCGACGTCGAGATAGATCGTATTCTCCCAACACGGTGATGGTACATAAACTTCTTTTCTTCCTCATTGACCTTCTTTCTCCTTACCAAGCGAGGCCCCCCGTCTTGGCTCTCTTATGCGCTGCCCTTGACCAGGCCGGAAACCGTCTCCTCGATCTGCTTGTCCGACAAACCTGCGCTCTGTTAGCTCCCAACTCTCCGAATTGGGCATGCAGAAAGTCACTACTCACCCTCCAAGGATTGGCTCTTCTCAACACCGAACTCTGTATCGCGCAGCAACATCTCGTCAGCAAATCTATCTTTCTTCCATCGTCGATCCCGGGGGGAGGGCAGTCCTAACCGTATCTCGCGTAGATCTTGGGTAGCGTTCCGGCGGCCTCGCGGATGAGGATCGGGGTCTGGGGGTTGTGCTTCTTCATCGTGGGGTACGTCCTCGTCAGGAAAGAGCTGTCGCGCGGTGCCTCGTTAGCAATTGATGCCGCAATGGCAGGCCAGGCCAGGCCGGGCCGGGCCGGGCGTGCCCGCCTCGACGGGCGACGGGGAGGAGGAAACTTACCGGGTCGCGGCGCTGTGCTCGCCGGTCTGGCAGAAGAGGAAGCGCACCTCCTTGAGGGCCTTGCCGAAGGCGTACTTGGTCGACATCGTGGTAGGCGTTTGGCGCTGACGGTGGTGAGGTTCGTCGGTGGAGGGTGCGGCCGTCGGGTGGTAAGGACAATTGGGGTCGATTTGATTGGGGAGCTCGAGGATTGAAGTTGACGAGATGCCGCCGTTAAAGTGGGTACCGTGCACAACTATTCCGGGTCCCGAACTTTATGCCGATAGCCGTCTTGTGCAGATGCACAAGTCAGCCCCCGCCGATGTAGGCGCCCCCCACCAAATGAGCGCTCGCCAATTTGCTCGTCGCACTCGAAGCATGGGTGGTCAGTGCTCCCCTTCCCCAATGTCAACTTTTTTTTCTGGACGTTGTCCCCGCTTAAGTCCGGTTGACGGGCTTCCCTTTGCGCCCGGGCGCGCGTGGGCTCTGTGCCACAGGGACGGATACCGTCCCCTACCAGCTGGCCCTGCGCAAACGCACCGCTATTAGCTGCCAAAAAAAGCTGCAGTGTCTGTCCCGCTCTGCGCCTTGGCCGGACCTCCTCCCAATCAATCGCCATCCCTCAACGAACTTTCCGGGTTTATCTCAACCTTGACTCAACCTCGCATCCCAATTCCCTCCGCCGCCGAGCCCGAATCTCCCCTCCCTTCCGAACGAACCCAGCTCCCGTCCTCGACAGGGAACGTAACGAATCGCCGGCAGCAGCTTCGTCTCGATCGAATTTCACCCGGAATCAAGATGGCCCCGGCAAACAACTTCTTCAAGGCGGCGCGCCCCGTCCTCCGCCAGCAGCCCTTCGCCAGCGCCCCGATCCGCAACGCCTTCCGCACCTCCCAGTTCCGCGCCCAGTTCCGCGAGAGCTCCAAGAGGTGGCAGAGCTCGACCGCCTCCGCCGAGGGCGCCCAGCAGAGCTGGTTCAAGCGCATGTGGGACAGCCCCGTCGGCCTCAAGACGGTGCACTTCTGGTGAGTTTCCCTGCCTGTCGCTACAAATCGTGGCTGGGAAGAGATGCTGATATGTGATGGTGCAGGGCTCCTGTTATGAAGGTACGATCTCCCCCTGCCGCGCTGCGTCGAGGACCCCGCGAATTCTGTATTACATCCCTTGCGATGCCGCCCGCCCGCGATGTCGGAGCTTGAGTCTGCGCTCATGATGGACGGATGATACGGACACATGATGATGATGGTGCTGGATGCTAACTGCGATTGATACAGTGGGCTCTCGTCCTCGCCGGTGTCGCCGACTTTGCCCGTCCCGCCGAGAAGCTCTCCCTCACCCAGAACGCCGCCCTGACGGCCACCGGTATCATCTGGACCCGCTGGTGCTTGATCATCAAGCCCAAGAACTACCTGTACGTGCCTGTGTCTGTCCCGAGCTTGTCCGGAGCCGGTACTAACTGGTTTGTCCAGCCTCGCCGCTGTCAACTTCTTCCTCGGTATCGTCGGTGTCGTGCAGGTCTCCCGCATCCTGCTCTGGCAATCTTCCCAGAAGAAGAGCGCCGGCGAGGTCGCTCAGGAGATCAAGGAGGACGCCAAGGAGGCTGTCAAGGCATAGACGGGCTACATGGCTCGGTGAAGTGGGGTTGGAGGGGAAGTAGGAGGAGGGATACGGCGACCTGTGCAGCTTGGCCTGGCTGAGGTCTGGCTAGCTGTTGTAGAGTTCCGGTAATACCACAATGAGCGTGGGGACGAAGCATGAGGGGTTCACCTGCTGCGGCAGCTGCCCCTATGTGTTTTGAGTACATCGACAAGGTCTTCGGATCTGGGTTGTAGACTAAACCTTTCTTCTATTTCATTCATCGGGATCTTACACGGCCCAAGATATGCACCATTGTAGCCTGAGGGAAAGATTTGCCTGTCTCGCAAATGAGAGGATTACTGCGGTGCGCTGATCCATGGCAGACCAGTGCGGAAGATGATGGACGGCGACTCGGTCCCATCTGTGTTAGCTGTGAGTAAGTCATGGAGCCGGAGTGTCAATCATCGCAGTACCTGGCTACTACCATCCGTCTAGCAAAAGGGAAGTTTGGTCACAGAAGGCGCTGTCATCACGGCGCCAAGCTTACTAACGCTGATCGAGGCCATTTGTAAGAGAGCATGCCATGCACGAATTGTAGCAGGTTTTTCATCTCGGGCAATCGGCTGCGATGTTTTTGGGGACAAATGAAATAAATTTCACAAAACTAAAAGAGTGTTCCGACAAAATACTATCTGCGTTGCAGGCCAGATCAACCTGAACGTTCCTCCGAGGCCCTACCCACATACATACTTGTTGACATCTCCAAACACCAGCCTCGTGTGTCACTTCATTCCACATGCCACCTCACTCATCATCATCCTCCGGGATATCATCCTCCTGCGTATCGCCCGAGCCTTCAACTCTCCGACCCCGAGAACGTACACTGAGACCGGTGCTTCGCGAGTGCTCAGAACCCACGCTGCGTTGTGAGCCGGTCGAATGTAGGTGGAGACTGCTAGTGAGGGCAGTCATCTCATTGATCCGGTCAAAGGTGGCGAAGAGCGAATACCTGGGTCCTTCCTGCTTCGGTCCGAACACTTCGGGCTGGATGAACCACTGATGTATAAGGCTCATCCCCTCCCGCATGTGCGCGCCGTATGACCAGTCCCAGGGAGTCCAGCCTGCGAAATCGTTCAGGCTATCCCAGTCGTATAGCTCAATGGGGTGGAGGGGATGAGGCAGCTTCGAGATGTTGAGATGGTTCTGGTGATCTTTGAGCGTGGACTTTGCCCATATGGTCAGGTCCCACAGGTAGGTGTATTCGAAGTCGACCTGGACGGCTTGCGGGTGCTTGAGGATCTTGCCGTTGCGGCGGAGGGTGATGACGTAGTTGCGTGCCTCGGGACCTTCGTGCTCGACATGGTATCGCTTGTGGACAACGCAACCGTGGATGATCTGCTTCATAAGCTCGAGGCGGGTCTGCTTGTCGAGGTGAACCTCCCGGTCCAGGTCGGCGTGAGGGCGTATCTTGCGCAGCGGGAGGAGGCCATCGCGTTCGTGGCGAAGGCAGACGGACTCAATAGAAGGGCCTTGGACGTCCTCTCTAAGGACAGCGCCAACATACCTGCTGGGGGGCTTGCCGGGGTCATTGTCAGGGAAGTGCTGAATAACCCAGTTTCCATAGTACTCCGGGGCGATGTGAGACGGGCCGGTGAGCTTGACTTTGTCATCCGCTGCCGACTTTCCTTTCTGGTGGAGACGCCGGTAGATGCCGGCGAGTTGACTGAAACCCGAGTCGGCCAGATAGACCGAAGACATGACTGGAGCAAATGGAAGCGCAAGCGTATTGTAGAGCTTGTGGTCGAAGACTTCAGCCACGATGGTGTCGCCCTTGTCAACTTGTTCGCCGTTGTCGTCGTGGATGTGGGGTGGCTTCACGACTTGGCAAACCAGAAGAAGAGGCCCTTGAGGAGCGTCCGTGGCGGAATCTCTCGTGAGCTTCAGGACTTTGACAGTCAGCTCCTCTCCTTTGATCTTCTGGCCAGGAGGCCGGGGCTTGTAGCTGCTTGGATGGGCGATGCTCGACTTGGAGAGTTGGTCTTGTTTCTCGTCGCCCAGCCATCCGTACTTCGGTCCTCCATAAGGCGCAGTCGGATGATTGTGAGGAAGCAGCTTCAGCGTCGCCCCGACGGCATACGGTGCGAGAGGGTCGCTGGATCCCGAGTTCTCAAGAGACATGGTGAGAGAGAGCAAGTGCGACGACGAGGGCGAGCAACAAGAGCGAGCGACGACGAGAGCAAGCGGCAACGAGAGTTGTATGGAGCTGTGAAGGGTTGATAGAGTCACAATAGAGGAAAGAAATAAGAAAGCGATGGCTGATCCAAGGGAAAAAGTCAGCCTGTGGATAGATTCCAAATATTTTTCAAGGTGGACGGTCATCCAGTTGTCTTTCAAGGTGGACTTTGGAAGACTCCGAAAGGTCTTTCAATGTGTGCTGCATGGCGAGAAAACACCGCTTGTGCACCCTGAGAATGAGGTGGTTATGGTACACTGGGCAAACAGGCTGCTGTTACTGGATTGAACATGGAAGTCAAAGCATGTGGCATCCCAGGACGGCAGGCCCGGCAGGTCCAAGGTTTTTTTCATTATCGAGGGCAAGATGGCAGGCATCCTCTTGCGCTGCAAAGCGAATATCGAGGCCGCTGCTACTAGCCCCAGAGGCTTCAGCAAGGCCTCTCTGTCCTTGTTGAAACAGACTTACGCCTACGCCCTCGCGTTCCGCACACAACACGTTGCCTTGTATGACTACACCACCTTGATTTTGATTCATTGGCCGCATCTGGATACAGCCGCAACCGCTAAACAACTCTGGGACTATTGGAACAACCCAGTCAGTGCTGGTGCCATCGATCGCCTTCCAAGCGCCATCACTGTGATCACCGACCGTGATTTGATGGTGCCTGCTCTGGCTGGGTTCATGACCGACGCACTGCAGACTTGCAACCATAGATGGCACCCTGATTTGCAGTCTTGACTTGGGCGTCTCAGTGTACCGGCTTTCCCAATTTTGGTTTCCATCTTCATTTCATTTTTTCAGTGTTTGCTTATGGAATTTGTCTCGCTTCTGTCGGATATTAGATTATGCTAGGAAACTTGGTAGAGAAAAAAGATTTGATGTTTTTGCTATATGTGGCCGGCTTTTTCGCCACCAAATTCGTGATTCCAGTCATGTCGACAGATTTGTTTACTTGAAAGGTTGTGCATGAATTGCCTGCGATACTTCTATAAACGTCCAACATGTTCAATCACTTTGGAGTGTCAGAAAGAGAGCTTTCAAAGTTTCGACGAATCTTTCTTCCCTTCAAAACTGTTCAACGAACTCAGAGCTCTCTCGGCTTTGGAACCTGCATCCCACCACCGCAATGCAGTCATAGCAAGAAGAGCCAAGAGGTGTACGGGCCAAGACAATCACACCATTGGTCTAGTTCAAACTTGGGGAGAGAAAAGCTCCTGCAGATCTAACGCTATTCCCAATGTGAGTATGCCTGTAAGAACGCCGTTGAACGCCTGAGCCTGATGGTCTCGGGGGTGATCTGGTCTGCCCATGTGAGAAACGACAAAAGGAGAGGCACGCGTGTTTCGGAGACTCTTGGCTACATCCAACAGCCCCATGGACTGACAACTGGAGTGACGGAAGCGCGCTTCTGATGAGACACCACAGAACGTGACCGGCTACTGCATGGGTGTTGCAGGTCTGGCAGGACTCCAGGCAAGCCTCACACGGGCAGGTGCCACCAAGATCCCGAAAAAATTGCGCTTGGGAGGTTGAAGGGCGTTGCGGGCTGTCACCGCATGCTCCCTTCGGACTCTGCATGCGTCGTATTCGTATGGAAAGGGTGAATGACCACAGAACTCATGTCATCAACAAGGATTGATCGGCTGCTGCGGAGAACAAATGCCGACAAAGATGGCCGCTTTCCATGATACAACTTTGCGATACACCTTGGCTTGCGGCCCGTGACAGGGCACCTTTCCTCGTCACCGGGTTCGGCCTCCAGAGTCCATTGTTTGTCTCTCTGCTTGCAGCTGCGAGGTGATGACCGGAACACTGTCTACGTCTGATATCCGATACGAGTCCCGCCAAGATGGCCGGCCGGTACGAGGGCGTCCAAGCCCGTTGCCACGCATCATCCATCGGTGCCCCTGAGATTGACCCAAGCAATTTCTATTCCAAACATTCTGTTTCCCGTGAGGTTGGCTCACCTGAGCGGACTTGCACGGTTAGACTCACGGAAGCATGCCGCTGCCGGTGGGGCCGGGTGTCCGGGAATGCAACATTGGCGAGTCCAGGCCCCCAATATCAGGATGAGGGGCCCGCGGGAAAACATGACCCGTTTGTATGAAGACTTGACGAGATTCAAAATCTTTCTGATAGTTTCAGCTGGTGTCCATGGTGGACGAATTGCTCCTTACCGCCTATTTGCTCCGGTCCATGCCATGACGAGGCTCGGCTGCAGGATGCAGGCGATGCTCTGCAGGTAACCATTGCGACGGAGGGGATCGGACGCCAGATGAAAAACTTCGATCAATCGGTTCCACGACGGACAGATCATACGGCGCGAAGTAGACAGCCTACAGGTCCCCTCAAGCAGGCCCATGGACTTTTCCCGTGTTTTCATGTACACAGTGTCCAGCCGTTGACCTCGTGACGCCGAGCCCGCGACCACCGGAAATGGACTGGGTGCTTCATTGTTGTTTCCAACTGCCACGATATTTTTATAGAACCCCAACCTCGACATCCTCTGTCGCACAACGATCAATTTTTCCTCTTGTCTGCATCCTACCACGTCTTCTATTCCAAGCTCACTCATCCGCACCAACTCCCTTCCTAGAATTCAATTCAACATGTCACTCTCCACCACTCTAGCCCACCCTTCCGAGACCCAAGTCGACAAAGGGTCATCATTGCTGCAACAGGCACTTGCCTACAGCCTCGAGAGCGGCAGCAAGTACGCCGTTATGTGCAATGAGTCCGATTGCATGCTCATTTCCTTCCAACAACCCGAGGCCTCGCCCAACCAAAACACCAACTGCAACCCTTCCGATCATTTGCATGTCACCGTCGTCAAGAACAAGGAGGACCTGCCTCCTGCTCTTACCGGATTCCTGGCGGGTGCTATGCAGATGGAGACCGCTCAGGTCACCTCCACCCCTTCCAAGCTTTGAGAACTTTCACTCATTGGCTTGGACATGCCACTCACCCCTTTCTCTTCGTAAGTTATTTGTTATCATCCTCCAGTGGCTTGAGTTTTGATTCTTAACGGTTTTTTGTGAAGGTTTCATGGGCCGTAGCACTTGGGTTCATCTGGCATAGATTATGGCATTGTGTCAAGCATGGCATTTGCACTACATTAGGTGGAAATACAAGTTCCATATCATTACTCATACGAAACATTTTCCCATCGTGTGTGTCCACTGTCCAGACGTTTCTGTTCTGTTTCTTCCCGTGACATGATCTGAGGCCATTGGATCAAGTAAACGTGACAAAGCGTGGCTCTTTGTTTGTTATCCCTGTGCTTGATGCTTTGCGACATCAACCCGCAATGTCGTAGACGCTTCAATCTCAATGAGGCGTCACTTTCACTAACAGAATCAAAGGATTTGAACTTCGCCAAGATCCTCTTGACCCCTCATCCCCTACCTGAACCATCCTGATTCCTTTGCCTGCAATATGGGCGAAGACATACAACCATGAATTCTCGTTTCAAAACATGTGGAAAATTGCCTGTCAATTTGGCAGCGGCGAGTGTTCTTAGTGTCACGAAAGTCTAATCTTGTCCTAGGTTATCGACCATGTCTGGAATACACAAATCCTCCACTGCCCACCTCCGAGAACCCCCATCCTCCAACTCGACTGAATCCTCCTTCTCATTCCACAACGGACTCAATCAAACGCATGAAATTGTGAGGATAAAAGTCGAACACCGCCACAGAGGGGTCCTCATAGATCTCCTCGATATCACCCCGAATTCAAGTGGTCTTGAGGGCGTATCAGCCAGGGCAGTCCCGACTGCAAGGGATCAGGTGCGGAAGATTGGAACTCAGAGACGAGCTTTCAGCGGCTTTTCGTCTCGTTCACATTGATACTGGGACGACTAGAACTTGTCAGGCATTGAACTTCTATTCTTCTGGTGTTGCTTACATATTTGATGAGACTTTCAACCGTAACCCGGATTTTTCCAAGGCACTTAGGCATTGAGTCGAACCGCCAAGCATCATTGAAGCGATCGTTCTGTGCCCTGAACCGAGTAACGTCAGGGTGGGCAACAGGGGCGTTACTGCAGCCGAAGGTGGTGGCACCATTCATGGTTGCACCAAACGTGGCAGTCGGCTGGAATGAGGCTGAATTGATGTTCTGCATGTTGTGTGATTGTAAGTTGTGTGTAACGAGTCTTAAAAAATGTTGCGCAACTGAGAGGTATGGTCTTGGGATTCGTCGCTTTGGAAATTAGTCGATGATACAGCGTGAAATTGGCAATTTTTAAAAGCTCGACTTGGTACGAATTAGCGGAGGGCATAACCCAATTTCAACCGAGTCTGAATTCCATTGTTTGGTTTGTGGCTGCAGTGTCCCGTCGTGCATTGTTACCGAGCATCTAATCAGCTCACCTCGGTGACTTCGGTAAGCAGAGTGCACTAGCAGCCCATGTCACCGGCAATCTCCAGCTGAGCCCCTGGCCTCAACCCCGCGTTTCCCGCCACATTCTCGGTGAGCATCCACACCTAACCCATCAACACAACCTCATCCCAACTCAGCTCGTCGCCATCTACCCGCCAAGCCCTCCGCAATGAACAACCCGCTACTAGGCCATCTCTCAAAAATACTCACCCTCTCCCCTCCGCAATCCTCTTATCCACCCTCAGCCCTTTCAGGACCTCTCACGTCGCATACAGGAACAGCCTACCTCTTCCTCTCAATCTCGTCGGCCTTTCCCCGCCTTCAGATCCATTCCTACCACGCAATTCATTGGGCGCGAGCATACATCTCAAATATTCCGACAGAATCCGCCTCGGACTCAGCTCCAGAACACGTCCTAGGCCTTTCCGAAACCCTGTCCAGCCCAGCGATCCGCGCCTGCATATCTCAAGACTTGGCCCATGTCCACAAGTTCCTCTCCCTCCTCCCTTCAATCTCACACGCCGACCTCCCAACCTGCCTCATTCATGGCCTCTCAGGAACGCTCTATCTCCTCCGTCTCATACGCCACTGGGTCCCGTCATCAGCGCCGCTCGTCTCTCGCGCCATCGTCCACCTATCAGAGTACCTCCTCTCTTCCCCTTGGTCCTGTCCTCAATCAAGATCTCATGGCGCTGCTGATGGGGAGCTGGGAACGCTGACGCAGCTTGTGATGACCACACCACCATTAGCCTCGCGATTGGTGGAGAGACTTGCAGCGTTGCTGGATTTGCAAGGGCCGGACGGAGAATGGCCATCTCAGGAAACAGGGCTTGGGGCTGAATCTCTTGAAAACAAAGGAGACGTCTCATTCGCACACGGCACAACGGGTCTAGTAATATCTCTGCTATCACTTCGTCCTTATTTCCCATCTCTACAGGAGCGCATAGATGATGCCATGGCAAACGCCAGGAACTTCTTAAGCACCCAAGAGCTTGGGGCGAGAGAACCAAGTCTGTGGTACGGTGTTCTCAGCACCCCATTGTAAGCTTCTTTCTAAACCTGATTGTCATTGACTGCTGTGAAACGAGGTTGTCAACCAGCTGGCCAAACCCAGAGACACTGACAATGCCCAGAGCCTTTCCAAAAGGCCCGTCCAGAACATCGATTGTGAACCTCGTCCACCACCCTAGATCAACATCAGAACCCCCATCAGATTCGTCCTCATCTGGCTCAATAGCGATATCTTACGACCCCGGTGCCGCATGGATGTGGGCAGTATCAGAAAAGGAACTTCCGCGAATGATCTTTTACAACGACATTTGAAGCCGATTTGCGACTATCATCATGAGAAGCAATTAGTCTATATGGCTCGTGAATTTTAATATCATCTGGGACAACTGCAACACAGGCAACGTAAATGGGAACATCGTATTTGGCGCATAAAGTGAGAGGGTGAGTTAGTTCGGAGATGGAGACCGGGGTACTAGTATGGGATGGTCACAAGGGTGCGGTATGGCAGCGGCGGTACGAGACCTTGTGGTGTTAATGGAGCCCAAGCACACATGAGGGTTAGACCAGAGAGAGGTTATCTTAATCAAGACTTGAAAACTCCGTTCTTCTGTCGTATGATAATGGTTCAGACAAGATGACGTCGGCGAAAGTTTTGACAGAATTTCGTTACGCCGTCTCGCTATGTAAGGTCGAATTTAGCTTTTTGCAATATCCAAACATGTCATGTGGGGGCACGATTTGAAGTTCGAGCGAACTCAAACTTAGAATGAGCTTGTTGGTTTTTACTACTGAACGAAATGTACACGACGGTTTCTCCAGTCATCTTTCAAAAGTGACAAAAAGACGGACCTCGGCCCTTTATCCTCTAGATAACTTGCTCAGTGCTACCACTATCGCCTTCCACCCCCTTCCCAACTCCAGCATCCAACTTCACCCATTGCCATCCTCCATATTCTATACATCTTAACACACACGTACAGCAAACATGTCATCGACTTCCACCGCGCGAGTCCTTGACTCTACGGCTCTCGAAAGGTTCGATCCGGGCGAGGAGCTGGTGTTGACGCCATATCCACTGTCCGACCCCTGTGGCATCGGATTTGAAGATGAAGGCAGGACGCCTTCTGATTTCGACCCCTCCAAAGCTGACGGCAAACTCATCGAGACAGCCAACCCCGCCACGAGAGCTCGCCTCGTGATCAAGAAGCGCCTCAGCGGCACGTCGGCGGACGATCAGAATGTCCTCCTCTGCCGCGTGGAGCAGGCGCCGACCGCGTTCGAGATGGATAACGCACACGCGCGCCACCTGTCGGAGGGAAATCTCGTCATAGTGAAGACGTTCACTTCGAGACCGCTCTATCGATGGGTGCGCGATGGATACCGGTCCCACGATCATACATCTGGCGAGCTGCATCCGGAGGCCGCAGTGTACCAGCACCTGTACGATAACGGGCTGACCGGCTACCCTCGCCTGGCGCCGCAATACTATGGCACCTGGGTGTTTGAGAAGGAACAAAAGGGCCAGAACGCTTGCGCACGCGACAGGTACACCGGCCTCATCGTGACGGAATACGTTGATGGAGTGTCTGTCGAACAACTTGGCACCCGCGACTGGGACCATGATACCTATGGCCCCCTCCAACTCAGCACATCCCCTATCGCACTGCACAGAAACTCCGACAGAATCCTGCTGATGGATACCGAAAGCCGACTCCGCATATTCAAGACCTTGCTCGATGGCGTAGTCCGAAAATTGCACGCTGGTGTCTATGTCGGAAAGTCGAATCTCCACCCTAGCAATGTCTTGGTTTCTTTCCGCAACAACGGGAAAGAGCTTGAAGAACCGAGGGTGGTCTCCATCGATTACCAAATGGATACGGTGTGGTCTCGGACCAAGCCGGGACGTGATTCGGGAAAACCCATGATCGCGCAGCAGCTCGACCGGCCACCTCACCCTGCTCTGTACTTTCCGAGCACATCAGAAATCGCAGCCTTCAAGGGCTGGTTTCCTCGGGAATGGAGCCCTTACGACTCTAACCAGCTCTGCGAATGGCTTTTGAGTGAAAGCGGGTTCGGGCCCTTGGACGCCAACGAGAGATATAGCAGTCTTCCTTCTGAGGATGCTGGATACTTGGGTCTCTCTATGTTTCCAGTCTTTTGATCTACAAATAATTTTCCCGTTATTTGATTTACAGACTAGAAATGAAGATACATTACATTTGTCAGCATAGTTCGCCACATGAAAATTGAAAAACTTTCTTGATGTCTTGGTAGTAATTTCCATCACTCTTGACGGTGTTTGCTGGGTTCTCTGGACTTGGAGCAGGAAGACGACCTCACACTGTTCGCAATGGAAAAATCTTTTGGGTTTTTATTGCTTTCTATTAACGTTCTGTTACACGTATTTCAGTCATACATTGTCACGATCACAGCCTCACTCATATACTAGGCAAGCTCGACGAAACGATTAGTAGAGTAAGACCAAACATGCGCACGCCATAGGATGCGCCTGTACGAAAATAAACAATTTAGAGACCTCTGACCATACCACCGAGCAACTAAAACCATCCTGTGTTCTTTGCTTCTGCCTTTTGGGGCTAGAAGTCTCCTCTTCCGAGCCATCCCCACTCTTACTTCTCTCGCGCTTTGAGGTGAACAACTTCACTCCCCATGTTCCAGCATTCAGGTGCCCATACATAGCGAGGCACGAGGGGGGCGTGTCGTTTTCGAACGTCTCCACGTTGCGCACAGCCCATTCATCTGCCTTCCGGCTTCGCAGCTCTTCAATGGCATTCTCGCAATCTTCGCCATACGAGGCCTCAGGCTGCGAGCTTCGACTTTCAGCCCCTAGGTCCGCCACAATCTTCCCGAGCTCACGAACTCTCCGGTCATAGTCACTCATGGACGTCCTGAAGACAGAGTATTCGGAGCTGTCTTCAATCTTGCCGAAGACCCAGCCGAGTCAGTGATCGTACAGCCATGGACTTTCTTCCCACCTTTGCGGATACCATCCTAGGAAGAGCGAAATCGCATCAATACAGAACCTTTCGAACGGGAGAGGCGGGTTAGGCAGCTCTGTTAGCGGATGTCGACTAGGCCATTCGGGGTTTCTGGCAAGTTGAGCCTTCTCGTATATCTCGGTGCGGCAAAAGTCGGAAAAAACCACTCTAGTAGGGACCGATGAACCGTTCAGGTCAAGGACTGTTGCGAGAATGTTTTGGGGATTCAGATCGCACCATTGAACACCGACATGCAGAGACTTGACGACCCCTTCCAACCAAAGCTTGAGGACGTCTAATCGAAAAGTCTCGTCTTGTGGATTCATTGGACCGAGATCTGAATCGTATTCGGGTATCACATTGTAACTTTTCGGGACCAGCCTGGTCTCCTCCGGATCGTACGAACTACAAAGGTTCTTGATAGAGAGCCCTCGGACGTACTCTGTGGCAATCACGCCGAAGTATCGGATCTTCCTAACTCCTTCTCGTTGATCGGTATATGGAAGTTTGACAATCCACGTGCCATAGTAAGAAGGCACATGGTAAGGAGGGCCCATGATGTCGCCACGCACTAAATGCTTTTCGTAGTGGAACCTTAGTGCCGCCGATTCGCGAACGTGAAAATGCTCAGCAAGCTGCCAATTGTCGTATGGAGGTACACCAAGTCCTCTGGGGAATAGAAGTCCATCCGAAACTTTGAGGATGAAGTAATTAACTGAGTTGTCCGTCTTTGTTTCAGGGTCGAAGCGTGGGAACGGCATTTGGGGCTGCGCGAGGGATCGTGGGTACTTTGTCATCTTGCACAGCAACACTTGGTGACCATGCTTGAGAGTGTTCGAATGCCGTTTGATTATTTTGACCGTGGCGGTCGTCTTTTTGTCGATATCTGCGTTTGGGTCGAAGCCGCTGGGGTGTGTTGCGAGGTTGTCTAGCTGAGAGGGAGTGGGAGGGGGGTAGACGCCGTAGCCCCACGGCTCGGGTGGATTGACTCGTGGTATCAAATCAAGCTTCTGGCCGATGTCGAACGATGGGCAGTTCTTGGGAACTTCGTGATTCATGACGATATATGCGTGGTGGTTTGCGGTGGTTTGGACCGAGTCTTCGGATGATGTTGACGGGCGGCGTTTAGGACTGAAGCAGTGCAAGGATGTCTAGATGGTTGCCGAAGGCTGTATTGTGAAGCGAATTGGCGGAAGAAAGCAGCTACTATAGCAGAGGGAAAAATTGTGGAGGCAAGGAAAGAATTGGGGGCTTGTTAGTCTTAGGTCGGTTTCTGTTCGTGGAGGCAAAGAATTCTGGTTAGAAAGTAGACAGCGAAGGCCAAAAAGGGAGATAATTCAAGTGGTTCGAGGAAATTTCTTTTCCTTCAAGGCGCATGGTTTGTCGGAAAGGGTGGGGAGGTGAGCACAACTGTATCAAGGTTGCTCTCCGCCCGCTGAGCAAACGCATGCTTGACGGCTGCAGTACCAGATCCATATCTCTCTATCTCACATTCTTTTCACGGGAAATGAGGCCAAGTACTCGATGTATCTATGGCCTTGATAGACTGGGCGTCATTGACACTTACACAGTAGGAGGAGACTTCTCGCATGTCAAGATTGCTATCCCCTTGCCCTTGATTTGAGCAGGCAGGTACCCCGAACAATACCAGCGCCAAAACCCAAACAGAGGGAGTTACGGTACTCGAATCAACACGTTTGCCTCTTACGCCACCCGGATGCGCGCTGGCTGGGTTGCTCCAACTCCGATTGCAGGATCTAGGCTGCAACGCATGGGGAATCATCGGGCTTACAAGTATCACATTGATGCTGCCATATCGCCAAGGGATTAATTGTTATAGGCTGTGTTAATGTATCAAATCCCAGCAAAGCTCATTATTTCTGCCTTTTACTCAGGCCAGAAACCGTGCACCCTGCAAACAAGATTTTCGTAGGTCTTCCAGTTGATGTACTGCGAAACATCCATCCCGGTGTGCTCCTTCACCGAACGCAGAAAATCGTCCTTTGAATGCACGGGAGCTTCAGCGTGAGAAGCCCCATGGTCTGCCACAATCTTTCTTAACGAGCGGGTAGGTTCGTCGCCGCGGTCCTGGAAGATCGAGTACGTAGGGCCCTCCACGATGCCACCAAATGTCTTCCCGAGCCAGCAGTAGAACAGGAGCGGATACTTGTCCCAGATAGCCGGGTAACAACCGGAAAAGTTTACGGAAAAGGTGCACTGATGGACGGTGGCGAACCTCTCGAACGGATCGATCGGGTATTGCTTTTCAGTGAGAGGGTCTTGATCGGGCCATTCGGGATCTGCGGCGTACTTGGTCTTCTCGTATACTTCAAAGTTGGAGTAGTCGAGGAACACAACTCGGGGAGTAACGGTTCTGTCACCGCGGTCGTCGAGAACCGACACGAATGTGTTGTGGGGGCTCATCTCGGTGTACTCTGCACCAAGACGCAGCGTCTTGACCACACAATCCAGCATGCGCCTGAGCACGATCAGCCTGAAAGTCTCGTTCTCCACCTCGATCACCTGCCCAGCGAATTCCGGGCCTTCGAAAAGATCTGGGTCGTTTCTAGGAATGAGACGGGCCATGTTGGGACCAGGCTCGTCTTCAGCGTCGTCCGATCGGAGATGGCGGTTCTTGGGGGGCTCCCGCTTGCAGAGCTCACTGATGGAAACACCACGAACGAACTCCATGGCGACGGCGCCAGCGTAGCGGGTCTTCTGCTCGCCGGCCTTGTTCTTGTAGGGAATCTCAGCGACCCACGTGCCGAAGTAGGATGGCACATGGTACGGACTTCCCATGATGGTATGGTGCTGCCAGTGCTTCTGGTAGAGAAACTTCAGGGCAGACGAGTCGCGGCTGTGGGATTGGTCTGCGAGCTCCCAGTTATTCCAAGGGGGAAAGACACTTCCGCTGGGAAATAGGCGGCCGTCAGAAACCTTGAGAACAATCCAGTCGAGAAGATGTTCATTCTCGGCTTTCTGGTCTGAAGTGAATCGCGGAAACGGCATCTGCGGCTGTGCGAGGGTTTGCGGATACTTGGTGATTTCGCAGAGCAGCACCTGCGGACCACGACCCAGGCCGAACCGAAGATGCTTGATTATCTTCACCTTGCAGATAGCCGCCTCGTCGACTTCCGCGGCCGGATCGAAGCCGCGCGGGTATGTGGCGGCAATATTCTTAAGCTCGGAGGCAGGAGGGTAGGGGTAGGCGCCGCCCCAAGGTTCAGGTGGATTGAGATGGGGAAATAGTTGCAGCGTTTGACCGACATCGAACCAAGGGGCCCTTCGGGGAGGGTATGGGAAGTCCATGATCTCGGATGTAGGTGTACTGGAGAAAAGACCGCCGACGAAAAGTGGAAGGACTGTCGGGGGGCAAGAGTGCTGGCGGAAGACGTGAGCGCTGATGGAGGATGAGAGCCCCGATGGGGGACAAGAGTGGCGGTGGCAGGAAAGAGCGCTGGTGGAAGGAAAGAGTTTGATGATGGAAGAGTACCCTAATGAAATACCAAAGCAACCAGTCGAGGTAAAGAAACTCTCAGCTTTTGATACATTTTCTGGAAATTCAAAACATACTTTTCGGTAGGTCGATGCTTCCTGCTGTCCGGCAACGACAACTCGACACCCGCAGTCCATGACCCCGAGTTTGTCATCCTCTTCAAGACCAGACAGACAAACACCCGCATAAAACCCGGGCACCGTCCAGGTTCCTTCCGCCTTGTATGGAGAAAGAGAAAAAGACGCAGAAGGCGCAAACGAACCCCGATGTCCAATCTGCTACCTAATGCTGCGGACGGCCTTGATGATCTCAAGTGACCTTGATGATAGTTCACCGCAGGAAGGGACATCTCAAACGACATCAGCACCGAAGCCAAAACAAGAAGCTACGCGAACCAACCCGCTTGCCTTCTCCGCCACCCAGATAAACCGTCTTCATACTGCCTGTTTCTTCCTTCGCAAACGGGCTGCTCCCCTCTCCTGAATGCTGGCAAGGAATCTTTGTCGTACCCAACATAGACACCGGACAATGACAAGCAGGTCCTCACCTCACACCGCACCACAGCCTCACGCCACACATCACCGAGGATTACCCTTGTATCAATGAATAATTATATATGCTAAACGCCGCATAACACATCTGTATAGAATACGCCATGCCGTGGCCCGGCACAATGCAAAATCGGGTACAAATCCCATCAACATCAACATCAACATCCGCATACACGCAGCTGCCTACCCATCCTTTCATCCAACTTGATCCATGAAAACCAAAACATAGGCATACCCAAAAATAGAGGAAACGCCAGGTGTCAACCACCACCAGACGAAAAAGAAGCTCAAACTTTTTGTGTCTTTTATTCCCTAGCGGAGCATCTGATTTCTCTCCAAAGGTAGCATCGTACATCTGGTCGTTGGTGTGGGTTGCCGTACAAGTACACGGTTTACATCGTGCCCTTTCCTTTTTCTTTTCGTGGTCGTCATCGCGGTTTTTCGTTTTCAACACAGGGAAGTCCAGCCCGGCGACCGCTCGTATTACGTGTTTGGTCGTAAGTCCATTGCCGTCAGCTCTACATGACGACACACTCGCCTTCCTGTTGCTTGCCGATCTTGCTACGGGAGATGCGCTCGCGCTGCCGAGGTCCGTTCTTGCCGGCGCGCTTGAGATCCTCGAGGCGCTCGCGGGCCTTGGGGAAGTCCTGGGCTGTGGACACCAATTAGCGTGCGCTTGTAGCGAGAAGTCAAAACAAAACTTACCAGCCGCTCTCCAGTACCACCGCTTCGCATCCTCCATATTGGCCGGCACACCGATGCCTACTTCCGTAAAGTATCCCATCGCGTACTCGGCCTTCGCCAAACCAGCCATCGCCGCCTTGCGGGCCCACAAGTACGCCTCCGTATCGCTTTGCTGCAGGACATTATCACTACCAGTAAGATACCATCCACTGAGCGACAGCTCGGACTGGTGCTCGCCCTGCTGGGCAGCGCGGGAGTACCACATGATTGACTGTCGAGGATCGATAGGGCAGCCCATGAGACCATATTCAAAGGCGCATCCGAGTCGATACTGCGAGAATTTGTAGCCAAGATCCGCCGCCTGTCTAAACAGGGTAAAGGCGTAGGCCTCGTCCTTGATGATGGCGTCGTTGGGAGCCGCAGACTCGTACAGCAGGCCGAGCTCGTGCAAAGCGTGGGGGTTCTCGGCGTCGGCGCGTTCGGCAGCCCGCTTCAACCAGCCTACAGCTTCGCGAGGATTCTTGGGCTGGCCAAGAAGTCCTTTCAGCAGGATCATGCCCACTTTGTACATGGCCGGCGTGTCCCCAAGCGTTGCAGCTCTCTTATACCACTGAATCGCCTTCAAGGGATCTTTCCTCGTGCCGCCGCCCTCTTCGTGACCAATCTCGCAACAGACCGCCGTCCGGTAAGCCGCCGCCGCGTGTCCAAGCTTGGCTGACGACTGGTACAGGGTGAAGGCTTCCTTGTTGTCGGGCTCCAGTCCAAACAGTCCGCGTCCGAGACAGTCTGCGTAGAAGAACATGGACTCGGGGTTCTGCGCGTTCGATAGCTTCTTGAGAATCTTGTTCGCATCCATGAGGTACTTTTCACGAGCGCGAACCTTCATCTTCGGGTCGGCGAGGTTAGGCGCCAGTGTGTCGGCCGCCTCCACGAGTCTCTTTGCCAGCCTCAAGGCAGACTCCTGGTCATTGGGATTCGTCTTGATGATCTGGCGCAGACGCTCGAGCTCCTCCTGTGTAACTGGCGTCGAGGCTTCCGTGAAGGACGGCGTACTGGCTTGCTGGGGCGCCATCTGCTGCGGGGGTATCGCACCAGGACCTGCAGGAGGCACTGGTCCGCCCATTCCACCGTTGTAGTTGCGGACAGGTGCAGGTTTGTCGTTCATGCTTACCATCGAGTTGGGCATATGGCCCGGGCGAACAGGAGTAGGGTGAGATGGTAGGGAATCACCGCTGCGACTAGGAGACGGTCCATGGGGGAGACCTGGACGTCCCATTTGCGGCGGGGTAGGTTGTTGCAGTTGATCCCAGCCGTTTGGACCGTTGTAAGCGTCTTGTTGGTAGCCGCCATTCATAGGTGGCATTGGCGGCGCGTCACCAGCCATCTCGAAAACGGCTTGCTGCGACTGTCTCAAATCAGGTTGCGACTTCGTGCGGCTCATTTCCGGCATGCGCTTAGCACCCGGCTGAGTGTGTTCCGCAATGCCGGGTCTCATGTGCTGATCGAATGAGCCACGCGGGCGGTGTGAAGGCTGCGCATCAAAGTCGGGAGCACCACCTGGGCCCCCTGGCCCTCGGTAATCGTTGCTCGTACGCGGGGGCTGATAGTATGCATCATAGACATCGCCAAATGATGCTCTGGTATCCCTATAACCATCCTGGCCTCCGTCGTATCCATCATATCCGTTCTGAGGGGGCAGCGGGGGGTTCGGAGGGTGCATGCGCTGCGGCGGCGGTCTGTTGCCCTGGGCTGTAGATGGCCGGGGAGGAACACCATTACGAGGTCCTCCTTGGCTGCCCGGCCCTGCGTACGTGTCTTGCCGATGCGGCGGCGCACGTCTTTGCATGGGGTCATTGACCGGCATCGTCATGCTCCGAGGCGGGGGGCCGAAGTTGTCCTGCGGGCCATAACCATCGTCTCTGAAGTCAGGCCCTCCGTAGCCGGGGTCGGGGCCACGTCGCGGCTCCGGATATCCTCGCGGCGGGGGCGGCCCTCTGCCATTCGGCTGTCTAGGAGGTGGTCCCTGGGCTCCGATTTCCATGCCAGCCATCTTGTTCAGTATCGCCTGCTCTGCGTCGAGGTCCGTCTTGCGGCCCTGTCCCGGAAACGCGGGGAAGGCGCCGCCAAAGCCCTGGGGGCCAGGTGGGCTTATTGGGCCGCCGTCTTGCGGTCGGGGGCGGTTCGCTAGCGATTGATCAGCATACAAGAGCAGTGACTGCATTGCGCAACTTACCCGCAGGGTCTGAGTTCGCCGATCGCTCGTACGGAGCTGGTCGTCCTCCGCGTCCCATGGGGAATCCTCCGCGGCCACCAGGGCCACCACGACCCGGGGGACCGGGGGGATAGCCGCCGCGAACACCGTCGGCTGTAGGGGGGCGTGCTATCGGGCCTCCTCTTCCCATCTGTGGCGGCGGACGTCCTCCTCTTCCTGGGCCATTGGGTCCTGGGCCGCCGCCGTAGTAATCCTGTTGCGGGTAGCCCTGATTCGGCGGTGGCGGGCCTCTTCCGTAGTTCTGGTCCTGGTACCCTCCGCCGTAGTCCTGGCCGTAGCCGCCGTCGTCGTAGTAGTCATAGCCGTAAGCGTCTTGCTGGTAGTTGTCGTACTGCTGGGGAGGAGGAGGGCCCCGTTGCGCAGGGCCGGGTCCAGGACCAGGACGAGGCGCGGGCGGGCCACCGCCGTATGGGCGCTGTCCCGGGTATCCTGCCATCGTCTGGTCTAATTCCCCGCCGCTAGTCTGCTCGAAACCGTGCCGTCGTCGACTGGGTGGTTTCGCAGGCGCAAATTGAAGCGATCGGGAGTCGTCTCGTGTGGTTTTGGGCCGATTGGTGTGTAGGTTTGAGAGTGTGTTGTTGGTGTGTGGTCAACAAGGTCGGGAAAGTGCCGGGTTCAGGACAGCTCCTGCGCGGCTCGGGGTCGCATAAAGGTTGCTCTGGGAAAGGAGAGAAATTAGGTAGGTGTAGCTCCACAGCTTTCCGGAATTGGATCGGGCTGCTACAACAACAAGCGCATCGCTGAGCAGTTCGAGAAAAGAAGAAGAATCGCAACACCAAGTAGCGGCGGCGGCGGGGGTTTCTCGTCCTTCTCTGCTGTAGGTGCTGGGATTCAGCGCGTTTCGGCTCAATGTTGATCGACAGTTTCGGCGGGCCAGGCAATGCGGGAAAGCGCGGACTCTCAGTCGACCTGACGTTGTTTTTTTTCCTGAAGCTGTCCACAGCAATTTGGGGAACTGTATTCGGGGCGCACAACAACGGTCGAGCAAAAGGAGAGTCGGATACAAAAAAGGAGAAAAAGAAGAAAGAATGATTTGAGCCGCGCGTTGGCAGTGCCGGGAAGCAAGGTCAGGTTGGGTTGCTTCAGTTCAATAGAGCTGGCCGTCAAGGGGAGATCGCAGGTGTTTCCAGAACACGGCGTCTATTGGTGGCAGAGACGGTGGAGATGGACCGAGTTAATGTTCAAGGACCAAGACCAAGACCAAGCAAGCACAGGCAGGCAGGCAGGCAGGCAGGCAGGAAGACTGGGCAGCAGTCGAATGAGGTGCGTGGTACTCTGCGAAAGGCGGACACTGGAGGGGCTGACT